CTGTCCCTCAGCTCTTCAGCTCAAGGCGAGCACTCTACCACTTGAGCCACAGCGCCACTTCTGGTTTTCTGGTGGTTTATTGGAGATAGGAGTCTCATGGTCTTTCCTGCCCGGGCTGGCTTTGAACTGCTATCCTCAGATCTCCACCTCCTGAGTAGCTAGGATTACAGGCGTGAGCCACTAGCGCTCGGCTGAGATAGTCTAAGTTTTTACCTAAGCTGGCTCCAAATGCATTCTCCTGATCTCCTCCCAGGATTACAGGTATGAGCCACTGCACCTGGCCCAGTTGTTATTAACTGTAGCTTCTGTGACTCTCCTGGCAAGTGGGCAGAGGCAAGAATTCTGTCTACACTGACAGAATCTAACAGAGACCATAAACTTGTTATCACAGGATTCTAACACTGGCACAAGGGACTCAAAAGAGTTTATTTTTTGTCACCTGTGGGGCCTGAACTCTGGGCCTGGGAGCTGTCCCTCAGCTCTTCAGCTCAAGGCTAGCGCTCTACCGCTTGAGCCACAGCGCCACTTCCAGCTTTTTCTGCTTATGTGGTGCTGAGGAATCCAATCCAGGGCCTCATGCATGCAAGGCAAGCACTCTGTCACTGAGCCACCTTCCCAGCCCTCAACAGAGTTTTTATTCTGTGATGGGGATACCCTTGATCTGGGATCTCCAATTGTTTAGGATTACCTTGAGGCTCAGAGTCAATGGTCGAACTCTAAGTATTTACTAAGAGTTTACTAATATCCTAAGTACACAGGTTTCTGGAAAACAACTATGCAGAGGAAGTTCATCATGGCAGAGACTGTAATGTGATCTATTGTAAATCTGAAGTCTGAGGAACAGAAATACAATCTGACTATCTGAGATAGAGCGCCAGCTGTGAGCAGAAAAGCCAAGCGAGAGCACAAAGTCTTGAGTTCAAGTTCCAGTATTGGCGCATGTGTGTGCACACCACATACACACCTACAAACACACACACACACACACACACAATAAAGCATACTGTCATTATGCTTGCTTTTGCTCAAGTCTCAAACACTGACGTCATGTGACACAGGTGAACTTTGTGCTCTATTAACCCCAAGGCATGATAACAAGCAATAATCTTTACTCACACACTATTGAGACTCAGCATCTAAATCACACATAAAAACTGTACAAGAGTTTGTAAAGAGGTATAGCAAAATCATACATACCTTTTTAAGGGGAACTGTACTTCTAAACCAGTTATAATCAGGAGAGATTTTAATCTCTCCCATGATCAGCCAGAATGGAGGTTAACCCTGAAATAAAAGCATGCTTGCATCAAAAGTGAACATAAAAGTCTGGTCTCGCTAAATCAATAATACTTTAAAACCATGGAAATGGGCTATTTTACCTTTTCAGTATCCACTTCAACAACAGAAAACAATTTGGTGTAATCACAGAGCAGAGAGATTGTCATTTCAACCCATTAGTTCTTCTAGACTAGAAAATGGACATGACTTATTAAGAAAATATGGCTGTCACAGAGACCGGGCAGAGCAGGCCTTCTGACACCCCAGGGCAAGCCCTAGTTACACATTCTGAACTGAGTCCCCTTGATTGCCTGTCCACACTATCTCAGGAATCCACCGTAATACAGTTCCTCCTATCTGATGACAGGGAACCAGTCCTTCTAGAGAAAGGAGTTACAGTGAGCCTGTTGCTTCATGAATTCTTGAGCAAGAGATGGCATTAACCTGAGTTCAGAAACTCCACACAGAATTCAGGCAAGCCTGCCATTTTCAAGGATGTGTTTCAAAGATACATAAAAGACTCAAAGCAACAATGTCTTCAGAGAGATACTTCTAGCTTTTTTTTTTTTCTTTTTTGCCAACCCTGGGGCTTGAACTCAGGGCCTGAGCACTGTCCCTGAGCTTCTTTTGCTCACAGCTAGCACTCTACCACTTGAGCCACAACGCCACTTCTGGCTTTTTCTGTTTATGTGGTACTGAGGGCTTCATGAGTGGTAGGCAAGCGCTCTACCACTAAGCCACACTGCCAGCCCTACTTCTATCTTTTATAGCTTTGTACCTTTTTTTTTTTGGTCTGTCCTGGGGCTTGAACTCAGGGCCTAGGCACTGTCTCTGAGCTTCTTTTGCTCAAGGCCAGAACTCAACCACTTGAGCTACAGTGCCATTTCTGTAACTTTGATACAACTCTCTTCCAGCTTGTTTCCTCCTCTGTGAGTTTCACAGATGTATCCTTGGGGCCTAGACCAGTGCCTGGCATACAGCGGTCTTACGTGAGGCCCTTCTACAATCGCGGTGAACTTTGGACGGGCTGAGCTTCTGAGGTTCCCCTTTTTGTTTGGGCCTCTGTGTTGCATCATAACAAGAGCATGAAATTATAGATCCTGCTGCAGATTCTGATTGCCAACTGAGGAATTTCCACCCATCCGTTTGGAGCCACATCCTGTTACATCATGAACAAGGTAACCGAGTAGGGGTTTAACTCCTGGTCTGACATTTCAGAGAAAGTTCAAGACTGTCACACGGAGCAGGGTTCTCTAAACTCAGTGAAGCTCTTCCTCATTCCTTGACCCTCCAGATCCGCTCCCAAGAGACACACAAAGGTTCCCCATTGTCCCTACCTCTAAAAGCTTCTTAACAAAAGGCCCAGGAGACCGTAAACATAGGCATTCCAATATTAAACCAGACTCAATACTCTTGAGACTGTAATAATGATCTTATTTCAGAGCTAAGATGGTACTTTCAGAGAAGTTTGTTAAAATCCTCAGTTATTTAAAAATACCTCAGTTATTTAAAAATACCAAGTCAGTGGTCTTATGCTGAAAATCTGAGTGCTTAAACACAGCTATTCTTTATACAAAAAACCCTCTAAAACATCAACTTTGTCTTGCAGATTAACATGCTAAAATAAGCCATTCTAAGCTCTCATAACTGATTATTACTGTTCAATAAAGCAACTAGTACAGTTACTTCTCCAAGACCTTATAATTGGGCAGATCTTAAATACTCCTATACCACCGAAATACTTTCTACATTTAATAGTATCTTTCCAGAAGCAAGTACTTTACAGGAGGCAATATAAAAAACAGGCTATGGAGCTGGGAAGGTGGCTCAGTGGTAGAGTGCTTGCATGCATGAGGCCCTGGGTTTAAGTCCTCAGCACTACATAAGCAGAAAAAGCCAGAAGGTGCTGAGGCTCAAGTGGTAGAGTGCTAGCCTTGGGCTGAAGAGCTGAGGGACAGCGCCCAGGCCCAGGGTTCAGGCTCCATGACGGACAAAAACAGGCTAAGGGCTGGGAATGTGGCTTAGGGCTTAGTGGTGGAGTGCTTGCCTAGCAAATATTTTAAAGCCTTAGGTTTAATTCTTCAACACTACATTAAACAGAAAAATCCAGAAGTGGTGCTGTGGCTTAGCTAGTAGAGCACTAGTCTTTAGTAAAAAAAAGCTCAGGGACAATGCCCAGGCCCCGAGTTCAAGCCTCAGGACTGGCAAAAACAAAACCAAATAAAAAACAGGCTAAGTAAATAAAACCAACAGATTAAGCCAGGTGCCAGCAACTCATGCTTGTAATCCTAAAACATTCAAGGAGCTGAGGTCTGTGGATCACAGTTCAAAGCCAGCCTGCACAGAAAAGTCTGTGAAACACTTATACCCAGCACAAAGCCAGAAGAGGATCTGTGGCTCAAGTAGCAGAACACCAACTTTGAGCAATAAAGCTAAAGAATGGTGACTGAACCTAAGTTTAAGCTCCAATGCCAGTGCGTACATACACACATACACATACGCACACAAACCAACAGATGTAGAAGCTATCTTCCTAATCAAAACCAGGACTGTTTGCTTCTAGAAGCAACAAACATAAAAATTTAAAGTTATTTATAGTTTTGGGATCAATTGCAATATACAAACCAAAATACCACGTCAACTCACAGCCACGCAAGTTCAGTCAGCCACCTCTTCCCACAGCAGAAAGCAGAAAGATACTCCTCACCCACCGTCCTCAAGATAATTCCCAGCCACCTGTAATGCATTACAACTAATCTTGCAGGACCAACAGATTCCACTCAGCTGTGACTACATTTTTGCAGGAACAAGTGATTTGAACACTTGTGCTAGTTTGGCAGTAATGAAAGGTGAGATTGGTACCAAATGTTGCATCTGACCAGCTGATGTTCATGAGAAGGAAAAAAAAAAAAAAGCCCCTGCTGCAAACAGAAAGCAGCTGGAAGGGGATTAAAAGGCAAGTTTGTTTGGGCGCTCTTTCATCCACTAATGCCCAATGTTTTGCAAGTCACAAGAGAAACATTCTGTGCCCCGTAATAGGTTAGCTGAGATTGTGATCAGACTGGTCAGGATTCAATACGGTGGACATAGTGAGCTCCATGTGATCTGATCTCATGTGAACTGGCCCTTCACAAAAACAAAGGCACCTGTTCATAGTGATGGGGAAAGGGCCACGAGGGATCAGCCTTTTGGTGATTAAGGAAGCCCCACCCCGTGGGGGGGGAAAGGAGGGGGGGGGAGGGGAAGACTCGAGGACACCCAGGCTTCTCTTACCCTTATGCTAGTGGGTGATAAAGCTGGCAGTTAAGAATGTACAGCTGAGCTGGGAGCCGATGGCTCAAGCCTGTAATCCTAACTCAGGAGGTTGAGATCTGAGGATCGAGGTTCAAAGCCAGCCTGGGGAAGGAAAGTTGGTGAGACTCTTATCTCCAACAAACCACTAGAAAACTGAAAGTGGCGCTATGGCTCAAGCGGTAGAGCGCTTGCCTTGAGCGGAAGAGCACAGGGACAGTGCCCAAGCCCAGAGTTCAAGTCCCATGACCGAACAAAAAAAAGAATGTACATCTGTCCAGGATTCCAGCAGAATAGCCAAGGAAATTGCCTGACAAATGTTCAAGTCACTAGTCATAAGTTTCTGATCCTTTACCTCAAGTTAGCTCATTTTCATCTGGACAATCAGTGATGATTAATTCTGGAAAAAACAAAGTATTAGCTCCTGAGAATTAGCTAAATGACAGGATTATGGTTGGCTGTTTCCTTTTGTTTGGTGCTGGGGACTGAATTCTGAGTCTTAACCATGCTAAGCATGAACTTTTCCCACTGAGCTACACCTCCAGCCCAGCAATGGCTTTTTAGTGTCGGTATCCTTCCCTATACATCGGTGTAGTGCTGTCCTTTTAGAAGTGTTTAGAGAATGTCTCCCTCTTTTCTCCAGCAACGCATCCATTCTCTCTAAACTTCACCGAAGGTTAAAGCTGCCTACTTGACATCTCTTCCCTGTCTTCCAGAGCCCTTGGTGTAAAAGCTTTTGGAAATCTGGACGCAGCTACTGAGTTACTCCTTAGTCTGTTCAGGATCTCTGGACCACTGCAGGTGGGGACAAAGCAGTTGCAAAAGGGACAAGTCAGACACATCAACCTTGCGACTTTCCTCTTCCTGCATTCAATTCACAAGCCTCGCACCTGGCCTGTACTCAGCCACGACCCAGGCCTTTGTCACAATCTCTAGAAACAACCCGCCTGTACTCATGGTTCTTAAAAGTTTACTGAAACGAAATGCTCCTGGGCCATGGAACCACAGCCCAAGATGATTAAAACAGGAGGCCGCTTTAAAGCTTTCTGCCCTCCACCTGGGCTTTCCCATCCCCTCACATGGGGTGTGTGTGGTGGGGTAGGCGGCCACACAAAGGCCGGGTCGCAGGCACACCAAGCAGAAGAACCCAGACACCAAGACTGGACGTAGACACCCATGAAATGCAATCACGTGCACAGTCACATGGGCACGTCCACTCGTGGGCTACACTCACAAAGTCACACCCAGTCCCAGCAGCCGCGCATGCGCCGTACACACCCACCTACACCTCTCCACACACACACACACACACACACACGGAGCTCCCCGAGGCCTCTCCCACCCCTCACCGGCCCAGGCCGCCCCCACT